TTATGTAAATTGTAATCCCTGTAATGATGCTGTATGATGTCCTTTTTGTTGTTCTGTTTATGTTTTTATGTTTCATGTGGAACCTACTTGAGCAGGTCTCCCTTGAAAAAGAGATCAATGATCTCAATGGGATACACCTGGATAAATAAAGGTTTGAAATTATTTCAATGGTTCTTGTTCTCTCTTCTTCTTTAAACAGAGATTCAGAGCTCATGTGGATACATTTACAATACTTTACCCTTTAAAGGGTTAATTTAGTGATTTAGTATTGCCAATTTCCTCATTCGTTATTGATTAATACAGGAGGATGAATTGATGAACTGACTGACAGAAAATGTATAGCCAGCAATTTAGATGATTGATTAGAGATGAGTCATTTATCATGCTAAAATGTCAATTTTTCACTAGCTCTAGCTGAGGATTTTATAGCATTGTTGTTGGGTTTTTTATGTGGGAAATAGTGATGGACACTTTTTTTTTTAAATCAGAAATTCTATAGCATTTTATATTGTACTTGTATATATTTTAAGCAATAAAATAAAGAGGCTTCGATCAAATAAATACATTCTAACAACAGTAATTACTCTTTTATCAGACCTTAATGTAGCTAAAAACAAGGTAAAACACGGGAAAGAACAACAAATTGATGACTCGGAAATTGAAAAGAAAGCAGGATTGTTCTTCGACTGCAACCTTCGTGCACATCTGTAAACTGGTTGACTTATTTCTGGTATGGAAAGTGGTGTGCAATCGGCAGTCCAGCAACTACACCGGGCCGGATGACTGTCATTTCCCCAGCAGGGGTATAAGATGACAAAGTGGTAAACACCTCACATATCTTCTTCTACAACCGGAACGTTAAACTTCTCCCCAAATTAGCTCTTCTTCACTCCTCTTACCTTTCCCGTCCACAATGCTGCTGACCCCTAATGCATCTGGTGTTAGAATGCAGGGACTATTTGAGGCTCTGTACGCCAGCCAGGGTGTATTTATACCACTGATGCTTAATGGCATGGTATGGGGTTGGGTGTCTGAGAATGGACTGGTAAAGTGGCACGATATGGGAGGAATTAAAGAAGCTGATTAGCATTCCAGCCTGGGACCAAAGAGCTCTGATCTATAACAGGGCATAAGTTGAAATCAATAGTTAAACACTGCAGGATCTTGAACAGACACACACACGCGGGGAGAGAAAGCCGTGTAAACCATGGCGCAGCCCGAGGCAGGTCTACAGGAAGTCTAGCCCTCTGACTGGAACAATGGGATAAGGAAAATAAGGCTACAGTGCCACACAAAGAGCAGGGAGGAGGGGAATCACGGCCTAAAATAAACAACGGCATACAACGCTGCTTAATGTGGGTCACTGCAATTATGGCTGCCTCAAACTCAGGGCACGAGAATATCTGGGGGTGCTGAGATGTTGCCAAATTTAAGATTGATGGAGAGCCAACGGCAACATGTTGATAATATCAATCATGGCGGCATTAGTGTCGTCCGGATGATGGTGCGTCAAGGGGGAGGACAGCAACAGGCCTGATCAGAATTGTAAATGATCTCTAGTGAAGTGTAGAAGGGTGAAGGCACATGACAAAGAAATGGGGGTGGGCAGCTTTTGGGAGGAATGAAGCGGAGGGGGATGTATTGCTTTACTTATGCTTCATTTATGTTCACTTAAGACAAAAACTGGAATCTATACACACTCATATTGTTTTTCAGTCTCTCTGTTAACGAGTAAATGGATTAGTTAATGTGACAGTCTACATTTGTTGTGTTGGTTTCGTGGTGCCTCCTGTGCATAACTCATCAGGTAATGCTACACATCAGATAAGTCATACCGGCTGCATTGCAGATAGGACAGTGGTGTCCATGATGCGCAAACGTCTAACAAACAGCCATATTGTGCCTTCTGATGGCATCACTTTGGGGGCTTCCATCGAAAGTCTGCAGGGGTTCAGCACGGTGGATTTGTACAGGGTTCCTTCACATGTACATGTTTTTTCTTCAGATTTAATACTTTTATAGATTTTGAAAATCAAAATCGCGAGGATACTCGTACAAAAACAATGTATAGAATAACAATCATCCCCTTCAACCATCAATTATGTCCCACTAGAAAGGTATTGCTGTGTTTGAATCTGCAGAGTATCTGGGTATGGATAAACCAACTGTCAAGCACCCAATCCGAATAACAATTGCTGTTTAATGTTGGGCCGTCTGTCAGTTGAGTTTTTAATGTGTGTCCCGCAACATCTTGCACTATTCAGTGGTTTCTGATGCCGATTTGAAATGACAGAGACTGTCAGCAAAAGACCTCACTCTGATTGGCCTGAGCCAACTAGTGAACAAGTAGAGAAACAGACGTCAAGCAAACTTAAAAAATAACAACTGAGGTCAAGAGGGCAGAAGAGGCTCTTTTCTTTTTTCATGTTTCTCTTATCTGAAAGTAAGTGCTAAGCGATAGTGGTGTGAAAATGGTCGGCAACGCTGCTTTGTACGTGATTTTTCTTTGTTTTCTGTTCTGCCTCCCTACATAAGCTGGATCAAACCAATCACCTTCTTGACACACAAGTCCGTAAACCACGACACTAAAACATGTGAGATGCGCGTGTTGGTAATGCAGGTCTTGGAAACTCCAGATTAAACAGATGTCCTTTTACTTTCAGACCAATAGCAGCATAGGCAGTAATTCTGTGTTTAGCATAACAATGAAAAAGCAAAGAAATAAACATCACAGGAAAGAAGAGACACGTCACAGGTGGCAGTGCTGTAATAAAAATCATGAAAGCAGCTAATGATGTCTGACAAGAACCCCCCCCAGGCCACCTCAAAGATGTGTCCCTTCACATGATCTCATCAACAATAATGACATCATCAACAGAACCGGTCATTTGATAGTTACTGTATGTTTGGTGGATCGATCTGTGTGTTGATAATACAAACATCTATTACTGACAATTGAGAAAATGTCCACTGACTCTTCTTCAATAGTAATACATTTTGGGCTGTTGGTTGGACAAATCAAGACAGAGGTCACATTTGATACTAATAATTTGTTATGGCCCTAATCCGACTATTATCTAGTCCCATAGTTAAACCACACACACCAGATGATCAGCTAGTTGTAGTGATTGGTGTTAGCAGTGCGGCCGGCCACACACACACACACACACACACACACACACACACACACACACACACACACACACACACACACACACACACACACACACACACACACACACACACACACACACACACACACACACACACACACACACACACACACACACACACACACACACACACACACACACACACACACACACACACACACACACACACACACACACACACACACACACACACACACACACACACACACATGAAATCAGTTTTTTTTTTAAAGTGCAATCACAGCTTGCTTTCAACACTCACAGACTTTACTATTGTGAACTTTGCTCCAGAGACTCAGTTACAAAGACAGAAGCTACCAATCCGACTGTGATGCAACACCTCAGCAACAAAGTCTTCAGCTTATCCTACATCCACAAGGTAAAGCTTGTCAAAAAAAGTAACTACACATTGTGGTAGTGTGAATAGGATGGTAACCCAGTCAATGAGAGAGGTGACATATCTGCAAAACCACAGCTGTACTGGAGGAGAGGGAAATGTCCTGATAGCTATGAATAAACAACAGCAATCGTTATATCAAATATAGTTATTCAAAGCTCAAAATATGCAACCTCATGAATAAACAGTGCTTTCTGCGCCACTTTTGTTACTCAAATCCTTCTCCTGCTGTAGAAGCAGCATCACCACCTCTAACCACACTTGTGGCAGCCTTAATGCAACTCAGCTTTCGCTTATTTCATCAGAAAAGACAAATAAACAAGTAAAAACGAATGAAAGGAAGTAGGGCTGTGTAATTAATCGTATTTTAATCGCAATTATGATGTTGGCCTGCCACAATTACGAAAACAACATAATCGAAAAAAACTATTATTTTGCTTTGCTAGGTTGTGACTGCAGTGCAACATATTTGATCTAATTTATTTTTGTCTAATTTATTTTTATTTATCATATTTATATATGTTTAGTAGCTTGTGGAAGTGCGCTCCAAAATATTTGTTGATCTTGTTTATTGGTATTTATTATTTTGATATTATTTATTTAAATGTAAATATATATTTATCATTTATTTAATAATTTTTGTATTGGTTTTTCAGTTGAATTATACGTTCAGGGTAATCAACAGTTAAACATATACTGTTCACATTTTTATTTGTATTTGTTTTAAAGTTCAATAAATTGATGTTTTCAAAGTCAATGAATAATCTTATTTAATAATCGTGATATCAATTATTGACCAAAATAATCGTGATTATGATTTTTGCCATAATCGCACAGCCCTAAAAGGAAGACCTTATCATGACAAGATAAGGATTTGTAGAGTTTATTTCCTTATCAAAGTTAATTAAAATGGCTTGAAAAGGTCAAACGTGACACATTTTTCTTCAGGAAACAATACATCTGACCCAAGATAATATCAAATTGACATTCTTTGGGTAAATACAGTGAATATAAACTACAGTAGTCTACAGTTATGAACAGTAGTTTGACGTTGACCTGTTTAGAGCAGTAAAGCAAGGCACAGAAAGCTTGAATCAGATGATAAACTTTAGAAAATATGCTTGGACCTCTCAGTCTTCATCCTTTCATTATGTGCAGAGCTTTGCTACACAGCAACTGTAAACCATGAGCCATTAACTGGGTATTTGAGGGTTTATAGTGTGCTACTTAAGGTGATGACTTACAGCTTTGTCAGTTTAGGTTACAGAGCTTGGTGTCCTTGATATCATAGTGTAGCTTTGCACTGAATAAAATACATGTTTTAAGCGGTGAAGGGATATTTTTAGTCAACAATGTTTATGAAATGTGCCGAGCTGAGTTGTGAATGTTTTTTCCCATAAACAACATGACACAGAACGGAGACCTCATACCTGCTAGTTCGTCCGGTTCCAGCCCAGTTTCTGTGTCTATCCCACAAACAACAAAGTAGTGTGCGAAGCGGCAGGACGCCGAGCCGGACACCGAGAAGCTGCCACTCATCCTGGCTTCGGTGTGCAGCGATGCTCGCTAGTAGTTCTCCAAGCAGCGATACATCTCCGTGAAAGAAAGGAAAAGCTGGATAAAACGCTGGATTCGGGGACACGGTTCTCCTCTTTCGGCTACTAGTTGCAAGATAAAGCTTAGTAGTTTATACTGAAGTTGCTTTTAAATGTTGTTCCTCCTAAATCTTGTCACTGGAGCTCGCGGATACACAACCTTCCGCGCCGGACCGGAGAGCGTTAATGTGAGCCTCCGCCTCCTGGAGCTCGGGAGAGTCGCAAGGCAGGGCGGGATATTCAAACCTAGTCCTCCATTCTGTCTACTGACAAAGAGGGACACATGTGTTTCTTTCTTTTAATGCTATAACAAAAACGGATCTTTAACTCTGCAGCTATCCAAGTTTTCGACGTCAGCCAGTTTTACGTCCATAATGCTTTGTTTATAGGGATGTTGGAGAATACAATGATTATGCATTAAAGGTCCCATGTCATGCTTTTCCGGTTATTACCCGTCCCCTTGTGTGTTATGATGGTTTTTATGCATGTAAACGGTCTGCAAAGTCACAAACCCTTAAAGTACACCCTGTAGCGATTAAAACTCTAACACAGAAAATACCTGTCTGTCTATGCTGCCCCAGAACGCCATTGGAGATTTCTCTTTTTGGGTACAGTGAAGTGCCCATACCCAAATGGACCAATCCGTGGAGCCGTTAACCTAACTGCTCCGCGGACGTAACGTGGACTTCCTCACACACACACTCAATCACTCAGCCGATTTCTCCTCCCTGAGACGACGGGACGCGACGAGGCTGTGAGTCGGTGTGTGAGCACACACAAACTCCCAGCCAGGCTGCGGGTGTGTGTGTGTTCGGGCTGGGTTTCGCTGTCTCGCAGACGGCCACTGGGCTCATAGGGAGGGGGGGGGCAGGAGCTCCAACAAGCCGTTTAGGACAGAGTGAATACACATACTATACAGAGATGCTGTATGAGAAACCAATGTGATTTGGGAAAATTGCACAATATAAATCTATTTTAGTATACCTCAACAATGGAATTATGATCAGTAGAAATGGCCGTGACATGGGACCTTTAAATTTGTCTGTGTCATTAGCAGGCTGGAACTGCTACCTCCGCGACCCGACCACGGATAAGCGGGAGAAGATGGATGGATAGATTAGCAGGCTTTGGCCAGGGGCGTAGTAGCATTTCCAAATTGGGGCCCCAGTCATAGTCAGGTAGACTACATTCAAACAATTGTGTGTATATTTGATTAGGTCGATATAATCTATAAATATGTATAAACGAAGATGAAAAATCCTAAATGTTCGTGTCACCACAATGTTGATACTATGAAAACAGTGATATCCAGGTTAGGGCTGCTTTGAAATCATAAATGTCCTTTCTAATCATTCAATTTAGGTCTTTTTAGATAATGTTTAAAAGGCATAATTTATGTATTTTATCATTTTAATTTGCCTATAGGTTTTCTGGTAGGTTTAAGAGCTAAAAAAACTTCTGAAAATGTACTAAACAGCAAACAAGTGACCCATTATTTCATACCTACCTACCTTTATTTAAGGTAAAATGTAGGAGCATTTTTAAATTATGCATTTGATATGATGCTTATTAACTCTATAGTCATCTTAATTCATGCCTGACTTTTATTAAAAATAGTCTTAATATTTCAACATTGGCAGACAAAAACAATTATACAGCTGATTCATCAACATGTAACCATGTTTATAAATAAGTTGCAACATAGCTTCTCTCTGCTGCCCCTCATCATATGGTTCAACGGCACCGGTGCTGTTTGTGCAGTATATAAAACATTGTCTCCCTCTAGTGTCGAAATAGAAGTACTGCAAGACAAATTGAGAAATGTATTCATTTAAGATTTTGGATACAGTAACGTTTAAAAAAAAAATAGAAAAATACAAGCTCGCCCATAGGAATAGTGTTAACATAAGTGGGTTTTCAAAGTACAAAAAATATATATGTGTAAAATAATATAAAATAGCTTTAGGAAGCCAGTAACAATAATGTCTGACAACAAGCAAACAAATGTATATACAGTTCCCACATAGACAAGCTCAAAATACAGAAAATGAATAGATGGTATCCAGAACTGCTGCTTCACGAATCAGCCACCTGTCCTTTAGGGAGTGAGACAAACTTGATTTGCATTGGTAGTCACTGCCATCCTTTTTCTCACTAGCGGGGTCTTGAATGAGATCTACAGCTTTTTCTTCCTGCTTAAACCTAAAATGAAAAATTGCAGGTACAAAAGAAAAAAAAAGAGTTACACCGGTACTGCAGAAACCAGAAACCCAAAGGAAATTGCATTGTGCATTGGTTGGCTGTAAGACAATTGTTGTTACTCAGAGCAAACCATGTTAGAATTTTGTTTAGGTAATACCTTGTATTGGCTTTGTCACTGTTGGCTTCTCTGACCATTTGTAACCTTCACAATCGTAGTTACCTATAGTAGGAATAATGATTAGGAACACACATTCTTATTAGACACATACAAAATACATTTCACTACTATCAGACTCTTTTAAAGACAATCAAAAAAAAATGTGCACTTCAAAAGAACACACCTTGTTCCTTTGGGGTATCCCGGATCCTAGCCTTTGTCAACTGTACTGCATCAAACTTGGTCCTTTTCATTAGGGGGGTTGCAGACTTGGAGTTTTGCCTCTGTATGGGTGCCCTGTTATGTCGACTAGGCAATGTCCCGGTTGTCACGTCATCCTCCATTCCCAGGGTGGATTTTGTCTCTTTTAGTTTCTTATTCAGCTCGTTTCCGATTGGGATAAAGACCTCCATTTCTTTTGTCAACCGTTTCCTTGCTGATGTTTCCATGGTTGCAGAAGTTGGTGAAGGGCATTTTGTGGGATTGACAGGATGGTTCATCGTTGACCTGTTGCCACAAGAGACAGAGCACCGTAGTTTTGACGTAGACAAACTTTGTCTGGGAGTATATATGCTCTGTTTGGATGCAGGATGATTAGAGGAGGCCGGTGTTTCTCCAGATGGAGTTAAATCTCTTGAGCCTGCTGAGCTTCGTCTGGCTTTAGAAGGTTTTTTCCTGACAGAGGTGGATGTGCATTTCTGGCCCGGTAAGGAATGTTGTCTTGAAAATATTGTGGGTTTTTTAACATTGGCCTGAACGTTATGCTTTGTTGTATGTGGTCCATCGTTTGCACGTTTTGGTTTGGGCAAATCCAATGTATTTTTATCGACAGAGTCAGTCTTTTTACTGGATGCTGTGGAGGTCTTTGGAGTGCCATCTTTAACCTGTCGGTCGTTGTTAGATTCTTTAAAGAGTTTATGATGTCGATTAGGCTTTTCAACAACTGAGCGAGGAATGACAGATTTTGAACCTGAAGTTGAGTTGGCCTTCTTGTTCAAAGACTGGGGCTTCTTCACTTTTGGATCCTTGGATGACAGACTGTTCTTTTTTGACTTTTCATTAGCAGCGCCACAAAGACTGTCCACAGTTTCATCATCACTTTCCTCTGATTCTGATGAGACTATTCTTTTAAATTTTACCCTACGTTTGTGGCAATGTATTTTATTAATCACATCAGAATCAGAATCAGAATCATGTCTGTTTGTCTTCTGTGGTGCATCATGAAGCATTGACTGGTTCAGTGACTGCGATAGGTCTGGAGAAGACTGTCTGGCTTCTCGACGAATGTCTTTAGCAGATCCATTACCACTTTTCACAGTTAAAGGGGACTGTCTTTTCTGTTCAACACATCGGCGATCGCCGTCATCCGACCCTGAACAGATGAATGTATTCCCGCTTGGTTCTTTGTTTTGGTCATCGTCCTCTGTGTCAGAATCAATGACTATTACACTCTCGGTGGAGCCACCCAGCTGCCCATTCATTTCTTCACTGTGCAACAGGTCAGAGCATGCATTCTGCATCCCTTCTTCGAACGGTGCATCATGGCATTTAGATTGGCGTATTGGCGAGTCTGCAGATATCCGTCGTTTTTTTGTAGAGTTTTCTTCTGAAGTTTCACATCGACTGCCTACAGTTTTGGATAAATGTGTCTTTGGTCGATTACATGTGGAACTGTCGCTGTCCTCTGAGCTGGAAGTGAAAAGTTTCTTCCTTTTTGGCTTCTTTTGGTAGTTTTGTTCAACATCATCTTCAGAGTCAGATTGAATTATTATTATGTCGTTGTTATTTGAAATATTCTGCCCATTGGTTGGGGCTTTAGAGCAATCTTCCTCTTCAGTCGTTGATGTACATATTTGCATACAGCCAGACCCCTCCAAACTCCTGGTATGACCTTGTTGCACATTTGTAACTTCATTGGCTTTGCCCTCAGGCACAGAAGCGTCTGTCTTTTTTCCGAACAAACTCCTGGATAGTGGTAAACATTTGTTATCTGACTCTAATGGGTAATCACAACTGTCGTCAGTTTTACAGCTGTCTGAAGACACTCTCCTGTTATGAGGTGTATGACCTTCTTCCTCAGAGTCCATTATAAGTTCAACCAATTCCATCTGTATTTTCTTAGAATTCACAGCTTGTAAAAAGCTTTCAATTGTGTCAAACTCTTTCATTGCTAGTAATGGTTTTGGAGATGGATAGTGGTTTGGATTTGGATCACACTGTCTTTCTTGGTCTTCTGTTTCTCCACCATCTAGCCCATCTTTTTCTTGGCTCTCTTGATCTTGATGTTCAAATTTAACGTCGGAAATAGTTAGAGGTATGAATAACATATCATCATCCTCATCATCATCATCCTCATAATCACCCTCATAATCATCAGTAACATCATCTTTCAATCCAGCGCCTTCATTTTCAAATGATGACTGCTTATCGTTGGGATCTGGTGTAGTTGAAGAGGTCTCTGCAGTCATATCATCAATGTGGGGACTTTCATCTTTCATAATGTCTTCAGAAGCAGTAGGAAAGTAAAATTCCTTATTCTCTGTGTCAGTTTGTAAGCGCGTAGAACCTGCATCCTTTCTTGGACCTTCATAACTTGTTTGGCTGCTATGCCCTTCACTTTGGTTTGTAGGAATTGACCATACATTATGAATTGTAAGTGTATCAACAGGTGAATATAGCGTGGTGCACTGTTGATTTTCAATGAGTGATGCTTGTCCAAAAGTTTTGTTTTCAGATAGCACTGAAGTTACACCAGGCAGTTGGCTTTTGTCTCCAAAATATGTTTTAATATTTAACGAAAAGGACTTCTGTTCTTCTGACGGGCTACCGTTGAAAATCAAACTGGATTGCTTCTCAGTCATTTCTTCACAGGTCATTTCAGGCACTGCTGCGGCTACCACTGGCCTCCCATCTTTTTCCCTTGTGCAAGTGGCAGGAACTTTCTTCATTTTTCGTGGATGTTCTGTGGATGCAAAGAGATGAACATTATCTTTATTCCCATTCCAATATTGTCGCAGTATGACCTTCTCCAGCTCTGCAATGTTCTCTAAATTCTCCAGACAAGCAATGAGCTCCTTCAATGAGTGTTCATGCCATCCTGTAAATACATTTCATACCATCTGCAATGAAAACTTTTATAATAATTGCTACCAACATTTTTTTTATATCCACAGCCATCTGAATAAACAAGTTTGTTATTGCCGTGTGCGGGTATATATATGTCCAAGGGTTTTCTTTTACTGACAAATGTAAATATATCGATGAACTCTTCTCAACAGATTCTTTAGGAGCATGTTTTGAGTTTTCGACAGCAGGGAATAGTGTACCTTTTGAATGTTTCTCTGACGCAGATGCAGAGCAATCGTCGATCCCTTTAGACTTGGGCAGTAACACAGCAAATGATTTGCTGTCCTTTGAACTGTCCTCTTCAAGTGCTGGTCCAACTGCTGCAGTGCACTCCTCATTTACAGCATTGCTGAGAGTTTGCCTCCCCATGTATTTTCTGTCAGAGGCAGAGGTTTTGGGGAGATGGGAAAAACAGTCAACCTTTGGTGAGATGGGGTCAGACTGCAGTGGAGAGTCCCTGTTGCACAGCTTTTTGGAAGGTACATATTTTGTTAAAGACCCAAAATATCTGACGCGTTTTGCAACAAAGTCAAGTATTTCGTCATCTGTAGGTGGTTCCAATTCTCCAACTGGCAAGACTTTCTCTCTGCTTAGAGAGCGAGAGCAGACCTGCTGCTGATAGGAAGTGTTATAAACAGATTTAGAGACACGTGTTGATGAAAAAAGATGACCATTTCCGTCTCGGCTTATTTGGTTGCGACTGCCCTGAGAATAACATGCACTATCCCCAGGTATAGGGGGCTGGAATCCACAGTCAAGTATGCTTGACTGTGACTTTGGATGGCAGTGGAGTCCCTTAAAATGTTGTTTGGAATGTGCATAGCCTTGCTGCAACTGAGCTGGGCCAGGAAGTTGAATGGCTACCATGTTGTTTTTTATTCCATTTTCAGGGGGAACCACTGATACAGGTGTTCCTTTAATGTCATGAGGGGACAGGAGAGTGCCAACGTAACTAGAGTGTTGAAACTTAGAACAGTCCCCTCCTCGGATGTAGTGATATCCAGATCTCATTGCATGTAGAGAAGTCTTTCAAGTGAGAACTTCAGTCACCTCTGAGGTCTAGGAAACAAAAGAAAGGAAAATTAATGGTTGACATTCACAACAATATAAACTTTTACCACTGAGGAAACCTAACAAACCAACCCCTCTCTTAGGAGTTCCTGAACCCAAATGTTGGCCTTGCCTAGGATGTGGGTCCGGATACGTTCAAAAGGGAATAAATGCAACAGCTGGCGTTGAATTGATAACGCAGGACACACATTTACTTAGGTATTATAGGCAAGTGTGTTTAAGTATATGGAGAGTTTGCTGCCTTGATATGTCTTCATAATTCTAAACTACATATTGTATGCTCAATATTGGGGAGTATAAATGTTTTACACATTTGTCAGTGATGCAACATCATATAAGGTTTCCCTTCAAGTAGTGTCATGGATCCAAATCCTTAAACACTAAAGACATTAAGACATAACAAAAATAGACACGTCTGTGTCAGGGTTTCCGCTAGGATTTTTTCTTGCCGGTCAAATGTCCGGAAATAATTTATTTTACCGGACAAATTTGAAACTTACCGGTCATGTTTCAATAATAATAAGAATTGTGTAGCAGAGTTTCCGTTGGCAGGTAATTACCGGACTATGCCGGATATGCTGATGTTTAAAACTCAGTTAATGGGAGTCATTTTTATATTGCTTCAGTTTATAAATCGTAACAGATCGAAAAGTTCAGATTCATTTTTCAATAAATGATGCGCTTCCACAAACAACAAACAACATAATTATTACATTCAAACAAACAACTTATAGTAGATGAAGTACATTATTCAAAAGTTTACATTAACTTTGGATAATAACACGGGAGAAACGGATCCTCTTTTCCTCTCTCCCTCCCTCTCTCCTGACAGATGATCGGCGGCAAATCGATCGGAGCATCCCTAATTATTACCAGACATTCTGAAGTTACCGGTTTTAATACATTACATAAAAACCGGTAATTACCGGCTAACGGAAACCATGGTCTGTGAATTGTTTGCGCCGGCTGTTTCTCCTCCAAAACGGCTCTTCATGTTACCACAGTTTACCACGGATCCTCAGTTTGGCGCTCGCAGTTCACGTCTAGCACCCCCCCGAGTCCAAATCGCGCACGTTTGGACGCCCTCGGCTCGAGTTCAGGGCGTTCCGAGCTGAATAAGGCAAGCTCAAATGACGGCAAGACGCCCCCCCCTGGCGGAAACGCTGTTTGTCGGTGAAGCCTTCCTAAATGTGTGTGTGTACCAAATTCTTAAATACTGGTAGCAACTAGGGATGCTCCAATCAGGGTTTTTGGGGCCGATCACCGGAATCAGCCGATACCGATCAAAGGGTGGGTGGGGGCTATGGGGATCTTCCATTTAAAGTGTTGTATTGTGAATTGTGTAGCAGAGTTTCCGTTAGCCGGTAATTACCGGACTATGACCGGTAATATATGCTGATGTTTAAAACTCAGTTAATGGGGCTCATTTTTATATTGCTTCAGTTTATAATTGTAAACGGATCGAAAGGTCAGATTAATTTTTCAATAAATGCACAAACAACATAATTATTACATTCAATTGAAGTACATTATTCAAGTTTACATTTAGCGCTTTCACACCGGAGTACTTTTCCCCCCGAACTAGGCCAATAGGGGGGGGGGAGATTTGGTTTCACACCAAAAAGGATCTGGGCCTAGTCCCTAGTTCGCGCAAACCTTTTCACCCCCAGATCGTCCCTGAGGAAATGGTTCGTGGGTGTGTCGTAGGGCTGCATGATATATCGTGTCGTGACGATAATCGCAATATTCACGATTCTTTTTTTTAGGACTTGCGATATTAAGTAGGCAAATTAACTCAAACACGTCATGTTACAATTATTTTGCTGCTTGCTACAAAAGGAAAACTTGCGCGGCTCTCATGTCAGGCGTACTTGAGTGAGTGACATGCAGGCTCTGCATGCACAGCAAACCACCAATCACAATCAAATCTCCAAAGCAAACGGACCCGGTGATTAAAGGTAAAAACACTGAATAAAGTAGTTTCATGTGTTTCTCCAGGACAGTTCGGCGCTGCTAACCGAGCTAGCTCAGCTTGTTGCTCTGATAACTTAAGATCCAGATGCCCGCAACTGCTAAGCTAGCAATTTGGAGGACCAGGAAGAACCAGATGCTAGGGCAGGGCTGGACAGATGTTGTTCAGAGTGTGAAGGGTTTGGTGGCTGTTCGGCTAAAAGCAGAACATGCCTTTAACAGTGTGACCAACAACCTGCCTGCTTTCAGGACTCTTTGGGGAGTCAATCACGTTCTATGTACGGCAAGGGAAGATGGTACACTGGAGCTGAATTAAAAAAAAAATAGTTTTTTTATGTGTGAGCTTTGATATGAATATTAAAAAAAAAAAAAAAAAGTGTCATGAATGTGATGAATTTGTAAGTTTTTATTTGAAATGACTTAAATAAAGGTTTTATTAAAAGTCAAAAGTCTCTCTCTCTCTCTCATCAATATAGATGTTTTTATTTTAAAGAAATATCCCAGTTGCATTTTCAGAAATCACAAATCCAATAAATCACAAATCCATCGAAATGAATAAAAAATCAATTAAAGCTGCAAGCAGCGTTGAGCGGGTCTTCGACACTCCGCAGGCTGTTGTCCGCACATCGACGACAGGCAGATGTCTTGAGGACTCGGCCGTTGGCAAACGTGGGAAGTTTCAGGCCGATCGGACAATGTATTTAGGAGTTACAGCAGTATCATAAACATTGTGTTGGATGGCGAGTGATCTGTCGCCATGGCAAAGGAATTTGATGACACCCCATAATACGCCTAGATGTGTTGAGGGCTGCATCGTTATCAAACCTGTGAAGTTTTGGGCCGTTTGGAGCATGTTAACTGGAGTTATGAGAAAACCGTGTTTCACGGCGACCATTTTGTTACCATAGCAACGACATTTGACGACATCTCAAAACTGACACATACATGTCTCGAGGGCTTGGCGGTTAGCACACATGTGAAATTTGAACACTTTTTTTACCATTTACACAGGAGTTATAGCAATATCGTGCTTAACGGTGAGGGACGCGTTGCCATGGCAACAGCTTTTGAGGAAAACTCATTATTGTCATATTGAGGTGTTGAGGGCCAGACCATTAGCCATCATCTGAAGTCTGGTGCCATTTGGATGATTTTCATAGGAGTAACGGAAACATCGGGTTTTTTGGCGAGGGATGGAAACGGCATATGGTGAGATCTCAGATTTCACGTAGAGCTGTTGAGGCATGGACCGGTGATATAAAAGTGAAGATTGGGGGACGATGGGACCGTGTCCATTTAGTCTAGTGGGTAGAAGGGGGTATCATGCACCCCCCTGAAATATACTTCTAATCAGCTTTTCTAGATTGGAAAAATTGTGTAGAAAACGATTAGCTATGTTAAAAAGTTGGCAAATTGTCCCACGTATATTTTTTTCCCAAATTAGTGTTTATTTACCCTAAAAATCGAGTTTCACTCTTTTTACACCTTTCACTATATCTCAGCCATTATTGCAGATAACTGAACAAATAAGGTATCCAGATCCATGTTTTGAGGGTCAAGGAACACAATAAAACTATTCTTAAAGTGATCACATGTGTCTGTGGCATGCTATTATGCTAATTAGTGCCGCCATTACAAGAAAATAGCATTTTAGTCTTGTACCAAGAACGGTGTATTTTGCACCGACACAGAAATATACTTATAATCAGTGTTTCCTAAGTGGAAAAAGTATGTAGAAAATGATGAGCTATGTTAAAATGTTGTCTGGATGTCCCACATGTATTTTTTATGCAAATTAGTGTCACCATTACCAAAAACGGAATTTTCACATTTTTCACTCTATCTCAGCCAATATTGCAGATAAATGAACAAATAATGTGTCTAGACCCATGTTTTGATGGTCAAAGATCACAATAAAACTATTCCCAAAGTGATCACATGTATCTGTGGCATGCTAGTATACAGCGCTGGCAGTAGTGAAAATTCCCGCCTTTTTTCCCGCCAAAAACAAACAAGTAGCTGACTTGGCTACACACACACATTCAACCTTCAAACAAACAAGGTAAGTAGCTAACTCAACTAGACTCATGTGTTTTGTATGTTTTATATAGGTTTCTAGCTTAATTGTTGTTAACACATCATTTTGCAGCCCAAAGTAGGCTACACACTAGAACATGTGTTAGTGTTATTCTGCCCTGCAGAGGCTAACTGCAGTAAAATATGGTAAACTATTAGCTAGCTAACGTTAGCTAACTAACTAACAGTGACGTGAATGAGGGATAGCTAGTGGTGTAGCTTGTTGAATAAAGCTATTAGCTAGGTAGTGCTAGGTAGCTAGCTAGCTGTACAGCTAATGTTAATTAAAAAAAAGGCAGTAATTGTAATGCAAAACTGCAGGGCAGTATTCTTAACCCGTTAAGCCCGATTGCCCCCGGTACCACAGCGTCCCAGGGCTTGTTACAATGTAACAACCTATTAACGTTGCATACCCACTTAACGGGAAGAAACTAAGCTAACAGATGATAATAACCATTTTAACCTAAACGAAACACAATTCCAACACCAAGCGTCTAAATCAGCACTTAACGAACGCTAACGCTAACGCCACATTAGGACATGACTGGCGATTTTTCTACTTCATGCTATCTGCATAAATGACATATCATATGAAAGCTGAGATTTATCAGATTCCATTGGTATAAGTCTCATCACTGTACGACAAAACTCACTGAATTAGCAGCCAGGAAAGAGGGTTTCCATCATTAAGGGGTAGTTTTCACTATAAATAGTGAAATAGGTTATAGGTTTTTTTAGGCGGAGATTAGAATATTTTTTTTTTACTATGTTTAATCTGAATTTACTCTGACACAGCAAGATCTATATTGATTCTGACACTTCTACAGCCAACTCACAGGTGTATCATTGCTTTGATACAAAATATTATTCATATACCCCTTATAGTTGTGAAGATATAATCATTCATTCTGGGCATGTCATTTTTCGAGCCTGAGGCCTGGGCTTAACAGGTTAAACTGTGGAACATGATGGCTGCTCTCAGAACATCTGTTATAATTTTCAAAAGTTCTGATTGTATAACAGATTGTCTTTAGGCGCTTTCACACCGGAGTAATTTTCCCACAATAGTTCCGATGTAGTTCCGAAAAGTTGCGTTCACACCAAAAAAAAAAGAACTATATTGGGATGCTCACACGCCGCAAAATGTGTGGTTCTGGATATGCAGAGATTCTGTTTGAGGCACAACTAGTGACAAGTGGATCCCTCAAGAAGAAGAAGAAGAAGACACACTTTATTAATCCCTTACAGGGAAATGTCTTTCCCCACTCTGTTGTGTTAACACACATTACACACACAGGGGAGGATATACATGCACAAACACAGAGGATATACATGCACACACATAACCACATGCAGATAGGAGAGGTGGCAGAGCAGAGAGGCTGCCAGGTACCCGGCGTCAAAGGTGTTTTAAGTGGAAAGGCATACGCAAAGTCCCTCTTTTGCCTCAAAACTGTGCGAATCAATGGAGAGGCTGTTGATGGAGCGGTTCATTGAGGAGGAAAGCGTCCTTATCACTGACCCTGCTGCACTTCTCAACATGACCCAGTCTTGCAATCGAGAGCACCTCGATGAAGCCCTCAAAGACCGCTCAACTCTAACGCTCATCGAGAAGTATCACGCCTATGAGGAGAAGGTGCTCAAGGGTCACCTGGGAAAGACAGCTGCCTTATGGATGTCATTTATTAACCACTGTCATCTTGTCTTCATGCTACTCCACTCCGTTAAGACCAACAACATCCAGTTGTTTCACAAATGCAATGGAGAGATGGCAAATATCTTCTTTGCATTTGATGGACACAACTACTCAAGGTTTGTGCTATTTACATGACAATTTACCAAATTTGCATTATGAGACAAGCTTTGAAAATAAATGTTTCTATGTGTAATCTGTGCCTTTCCTTATCTGCAGATATCTGACTTGGCTGGAGGTCTATCTGACAAACCTGGAGAACACACACCCAGGGGCCAAAGACCTGCTTTCTAAGGGTGCAATTGCGGTGGCCCGCTCAATGATACCGGGGGCACTTATGGCGCATTTCCACTACAGCGCGGAGCTCGCTTTAAGCGTGCCGTGTCATGCCGTGCCCGTTTTTGGTTGCGCTTCCACTAGGCCTAGTTACGGCCCGGCCCGGCCCGGCCCGGCCCGGCCCGGCCCGGCCCGGGGCCACTTTTTCACCTCTTTTCTGGCCCGACAAAATTGTGGTTCTATCGGGGCCAACAAACAGGGCTGAGTCGGGCTGAGTATGCTAAACTAGAGAGAGGAGCGCTGGCAAGGGGGCTACAACTACAACAAGATGGACATATTTGACCGTGATTTAATTGTAATACACGTTTCAAAATGATGCCGAAGTAACAACATACTGATACCGGTTAGTAAAAACCATGAATTAATGCTTTGTCAAGTCTGCAGACAGACGGCAGGCGAAAAACCTTTTAAAATGCGTGTTTTTCTAGATGGAGATTGGCTAAGCTAACGCAGTATATGCTCCGACCGTCCACACTCACAACAGCATGAAGTGAGCCGGCCCTGTTAAGGCCCAACGCGGCCAAGCCGTACCGAGCCGTATCGAGCGTGGCCGAGGCCGACCGTGTAGTGGAAATGCGCCATTAGTGCAGTCGACAAGACCATGGAGGAAACGTTCATGCGCTTTGCCAAATCATCAGGTACATTATGATTTTTACCCAGACATTGAACAGATATACAGACATTGTATCAAGATTATTATATTATATAATACAATTGTATACTGCTCTCACAAAACCACATTTTATTTGATGATTTCTGAATTAAAATGCATGTAACTTATTGTGTGGGAGCAGTAGATCACATATTTGTTTCATACTTTTAAGGTGGCTTCACTGGACTATACAGCCAGTTTGGGGCATACCAGAGGTGGTGTCAAACAACCTCCACACGGGCACAGTTTTATCAAAAGACCCTTGAGATGGTGGACCTCATCAAAGACCCAGACTGCCCAAGGGCGGGGAAACATCGGGAGCTGGAGAAGGCAGAGGTCAAAAAGGGTGAGGAGGCCATTCAGCGAACCATCGTGACAATTAGGAACTTTAGGAACCCCTTCACCATCTCAGACAAGGACAGGCTCTACTCCCTGGCTTCTGGTGCTCCTGTCCTCATGGAGGTCGAGATGGACGTGCTACAAGCAGAAACTGTGGACAAGGCTGCTAAAGCTGAGTTCATCAAACGGCTACAGAGCAGAGAGCCAGCTAGCTTCTTTGACCCAATCAAAAAGAAGAAGCTCAAGACCATGGAAGCTTGTAACAAAAAGGTCACCCTCACATCCTCACAGGGAAAGGTAATGAGATGTTCCAATACCTGAGGTCTACTGTATTATTGAAATTAATTTAATAACCTTTATTTTTTATTGTTGTGACCCCATATTTGTTAATGATACACTATCAATATCATTCCAGGTCATCCAGTATCAGGAGCAAAACAATCTTGCTTTCCTGCTCCTTGTCAAGTCACAACGTGCAGAGGACCCATTGGTCTTGGAGGAACTCATGAAATATCCCCTAATGCCTGTGCCCCTAGCCTTGGGACACCAGATGGGTTTTTCTCCAAGACTAATAAAGCGGCTCTTCTGCACTACAATCTGGAGGACACCACCCCAAAGGATCTGCCATACCCTAAGGATGCCCTGTTCATCCAGGATGGCATGGCTCTGCTCCATGTCCTCACCAACCTTCCCCCAACATGTGGGGAGATATGCCTACAAGTGCTTGATCAGATGGTGGCCAAAAAGCACTTTTTGTTCTCGACTGACAGTTACCATCCAGGATCTATCAAAGCACAGGAGAGGTTGAGACGTGGCAGTTCAGAGAAGATCATTTTGGCTGGACCAGCAACCAGGAAGCCATATGACTTCAAGATGTTTCTCACAAATGATGACAACAAAAAGCAACTCTGCCAGCTCCTGCTGCGAGTATGGAGTGATCAACAGGCAGCTTCAAGGCTGGAGAGAACAGAAATGGCAGTGCTGATCGTGGAAGGGAGAGCCCATCAACTTCTCTCCTCAAACGGCAAGGTAAATTGAAAGCCCATATTAAAAGTGATTGATGGTTAAATTATACTCTAAGTGATTATCTGTGATTTGTGTCTAGTCTCTGTCATTGTTGATCAAAGTGCAATATCCCATTGTGTATCAGGTTGAGGTACGTGAGCTCCCCACAATCTACAGCAACCAGGAAGAGACTGATACAAGGGTGGTACTCTACCTTCATCATGCTGCTGCCCTTGGGTACAAGAATGCTGTAGTCAGAACACCTGACACAGATATCTTTGTGATTCTTCTTTACCACGCTCATGCCATCAGGCTGACTATATACCTGGATACGGGGTCAGGGAAACATAGACAACTTCTCAACCTCTCTGAGCTTGCAGAATCCCTGGGAGAAGACTACTGTGCCACACTTCTTGGATTCCATGTGTTCAGCGGAGAAGACTGCACCAGTGCCTTCAAAGGGAAGGGGAAGGTGGGGCCCTTGAAAAAGCTGGAGAAGAACCCAAAGTTTCACAGGGCGTTCAGTCAACTCGGTGACAACTGGAATGTCAAGCCTGAGGTGCTGAAGCAGTTGGAGCAATTCACCTGTCTGATATATGGAGAGAGTCGTGAGTCTTCAGTGGACGTAGTCCGTGCCAAGTTGCTGCGCAAAATGGTGGGGCAGGACGATAAACTCACTGCCAAGTCTAAGGTTGACCTGGCTCGCCTTCCTCCATGCTATGATGCTCTGAAGCCGCACGTCCAACGTGTGAACCATCGCGTCGCCCTGAACAAGCGAGCTGATGAATCAATTTTAGAAAAACCAAACCCCTATGATGAGGAGCAGGGATGGATGAGGACTGATGGAGTGTTGAGACCGGTGTGGTCCTGTGGTCCTGTCCTGCCAACCTCCCTGGTTGATCTCCTGGACACGACAGAGCGTGAACAGGAAGAGGAAGAGGAAGAGGAATTTGACTCTGATGATAGCATTGAAAACGATGATTGAGTATTAATCAGATAGTGGAGAGCCAAACCTTGACTGCTTATCTGGAATGGGAAAGAGTAGTCACATCAATACTTATATTATGATGTTTGACCCTTGCTGTAGGCTAGTACAAAACAAATAAATATTGGTTAAATACACAACATCTGTCTCGACACCTTATTTGTTCACTTACTGTACTGCAATATTGGCGTCTCTTAATTTGCATAGCATGCCACAGATACATGTGATCACTTTGGGAATAGTTTTATTGTGATCTTTGACCATCAAAACATGGGTCTAGACACATTATTTGTTCATTTATCTGCAATATTGGCTGAGATAGAGTGAAAAGTGTGAAAATTCCGTTTTTGGTAATGGTGACACTAATTTGCATAAAAAATACATGTGGGACATACAGACAACATTTTAACATAGCTCATCATTTTCTACATACTTTTTCCACTTAGGAAACACTGATTATAAGTATATTTCTGTGTCGGTGCAAAATACACCGTTCTTGGTACAAGACTAAAATGCTATTTTCTTGTAATGGCGGCACTAATTAGCATAATAGCATGCCACAGACACATGTGATCACTTTAAGAATAGTTTTATTGTGTTCCTTGACCCTCAAAACATGGATCTGGATACCTTATTTGTTCAGTTATCTGCAATAATGGCTGAGATATAGTGAAAGGTGTAAAAAGAGTGAAACTCGATTTTTAGGGTAAATAAACACTAATTTGGGAAAAAAATATACGTGGGACAATTTGCCAACTTTTTAACATAGCTAATCGTTTTCTACACACTTTTTCCAATCTAGAAAAGCTGATTAGAAGTATATTTCAGGGGGGTGCATGATACCCCCTTCTACCCACCCAACTAATTGGAGTTACAGCGACACCGTGTTTTATGGCGAGGGATGCGTTGCCATGGTAACGCCATATTAAGTAACATCAAATTTGACGTAGAGCTGTTCAGGGCCGCAGTGTTAACCATCACGTGAAGTTTGGTGGCGTTCTGAGTATGTCAGTTGGCGTTATGACATCATCGTGTTCGAGGGATCGCCTAGCATCGAGTAGGGATGCCAGCGATTATTCGATTTTTCGAATATTCGTTACAGTCTCCATAATCGAAAATTATTTTTAAAATTCGATTTTATTTATATATATATATATTTGTATTATTATTTATGTTTTTCTTTTTTTTTCTGGCTTAGTTTCAACCAAAATATAGACTAATGCTAATAATAGTAATAGTATTAATAATTGTAAACTGTAAACTTGGAGGAAGCCAGCAGCGCAGGCTGCGCAGAGTGCAGACTGCTGCTGCAGCCTGCTACACACCGACCCCGCCCCCCACCTCTCTCCGTCACACGTGCGATTGATTTATTGGCGATATACAGAACAGTAAGAACAACACAACTAAAGATGAACAAAGCGGCACGTTCAAAGAAGAGTTCCTCGTGGAACTACTTCGAACTGATAAGTGCAAATTAAGTAAAATGCAAGCTCTGCGAAAAGACTTTGGTCTACCACAGCTCAACATCAACAATACGTTCGCATTTGAGTGCGAAGCATGCCAAAGAAGTGCCTACAGAGAAAGACGCAGCACAGCCGGCCATTACTAACTTCACTTCAAGGCCACGTCGTTGTGATGACAGGCGTGCAGGTGACATAACTGCACTAATCACCAATATGATAGTGTTTTCTTTTTTTTCTCTCCCGCGGGGGGAGGGAGGGGGGGGTGGCGAATAATCGATTAATATTTGCCAGGGCTGTCCGATTTTCGAATTTGATCATGGTCAGTTTCTGGCATCCCTAGCATCGAGCGAACGCGAACTTTGGCGCCAAATCACGGCTACGCCGTGCGAAAGAAAAAAACTTCCGTGATAACTTTGAATTGCCCATGTCTCGAGACGCTACCCAATGAATTTCGAGTCGTACGGATAAAGTCCCTGGGAGAAGATAGATTTCGTGCGGAGGACGAAAAACGCGATAAATCGCGTTTTTTCCAACGCCAAATTCAAAATGGCCGGCTTCCTGTACGTTATTTTATACCCCTCCAAGAGGCTTTTTGGTTTGTCTCCGCACCCTAGATATGCGTAGCGAGTTTCGTTCGTTTACGTGAAAGTTAAAGTGGGGGGAGTTTACGTTAAAAACGGAAGTGGGCGTGGCCTACTCAATTTTTGACACAAAGTTCCGAAACCAATTACACATCTCAAGTTGCACCACTTCTGACGCGCGTGCAACATTTGGTGAGTTTTCACATATGTTGCGGGGGTCAAAGGTTTATCGGTCGCTGTGCGACCGATTTCAATAGGGTCTTCACCGACCTAGGTCTCAGACCCTAATTACAGATTAACTCAGCAGTTGGCAAGAAAGCCAGCTGCCAAATGATGAGTACCAGGTCCTGCAGCCACTGCCAGACTCCATTTCCTTTCCGTCCACCAGCAAACACAATAGTCTGAAACCAGTTTACAGGTCACCCTGGACCCTTTAAAAAAAATCTTCTTAGACACAATTGTGTCTCTGCCAGTCCAATCATGATAACATGATGATGATGACACCCCATAATACGCCTAGATGTGTTGAGGGCTGCATCGTTATCAAACCTGTGAAGTTTTGGGCCGTTTGGAGCATGTTAACTGGAGTTATGAGAAAACCGTGTTTCACGGCGACCATTTGGTTACCATAGCAACGACATTTGACGACATCTCAAAACTGACACATACATGTCTCGAGGGCTTGGCGGTTAGCACACATGTGAAATTTGAACACTTTTTTTTACCATTTACACAGGAGTTATAGCAATATCGTGCTTAACGGTGAGGGATGCGTTGCCATGGCAACAGCTTTTGGGGAAAACTCACTATTGTCATATTGAGGTGTTGAGGGCCAGACCATTAGCCATCATCTGAAATCTGGTGCCGTTTGAACGATTTCCCATCGAGTTAGGACAACACCGTGATTTTTGGCGAGGGATCTGTTGCCATGGCAACGGCATATGATGACATCCCATAATTGGTGTAGAGCTGTTGAGGGCCAGACCATTAGCCATCATCTGAAGTCTGGTGCCATTTGGATGATTTTCATAGGAGTAACGGAAACATCGGGTTTTTTGGCGAGGGATGCGTTGCCATGGAAACGGCATATGGTGAGATCTCAGATTTCACGTAGAGCTGTTGAGGCATGGACCGGTGATATAAAAGTGAAGATTGGGGACGATGGGACCGTGTCCATTGGAGTTACAGCGACACCGTGTTTTATGGCGAGGGATGCGTTGCCATTGTAACGCCATATTAAGTAACATCAAATTTGACGTAGAGCTGTTCAGGGCCGCAGTGTTAACCATCACGTGAAGTTTGGTGGCGTTCTGAGTATGTCAGTTGGCATTATGACATCATCGTGTTCGAGGGATCGCCTAGCATCGAGTAGGGATGCCAGCGATTATTCGATTTTTCGAATATTCGTTACAGTCTCCATAATCGAAAATTATTTTTAAAATTCCATTTTATTTATATATATATATATTTGTATTATTATTTATGTTTTTCTTTTTTTTCCTGGCTTAGTTTCAACCAAAATATAGACTAATGCTAATAATAGTAATAGTATTAATAATTGTAAACTGTAAACTTGGAGGAAGCCAGCAGCGCAGGCTGCGCAGAGTGCAGACTGCTGCTGCAGCCTGCTACACACCGACCCCGCGCGACCGATTTCAATAGGGTCTTCACCGACCTAGGTCTCAGACCCTAATTACAGATTAACTCAGCAGTTGGCAAGAAAGCCAGCTGCCAAATGATGAGTACCAGGTCCTGCAGCCACTGCCAGACTCCATTTCCTTTCCGTCCACCAGCAAACACAATAGTCTGAAACCAGTTTACAGGTCACCCATGACCCTTTAAAAAAAATCTTCTTAGACACAATTGTGTCTCTGCCAGTCAAATCATGATAAACAGTCCTTGCTTTGGTCCAGCAGAAAAGTTCAGCCGGCTTGCGAAAAGTGTCAGAAACCTTGATACAGAATGCTTGTATAGGATTGAAAAAGTAGCATCTATATTTCTACACTGGTGAACCATATTACAAGTATTGGTATTTTTTTAACTATATTTAACCGGATGAAGGATTTTAGTCACGGACGTCTGGATCTGAAGTTATCAGAGCAACAAGCTGAGCTAGCTCGGTTAGTAGCGCCGAACTGCCCTGGAGAAACACATGAAACTACTTTATTCAGTGTTTTTACCTTTAATCACCAGGTCTGTTTGCTTTGGAGATTTGATTGTGATTGGTGGTTTGCTGTGCATGCAGAGCCTGCATGTCACTCACTCAAGTACCCCTGACATGAGAGCCGCGCAAGTTTTCCTTTTGTAGCAAGCAGCAAAATAATTGTAACATGACGTGTTTTAGTTAATTTGCCGACTTAATATCGCAAGTCCTAAACATTTTTTAATTAAAATTCAAAAAATCGCACGTCCTGCGATGTGAATATCGCGCATGCGCATATCGCGATTATCGTCACAACGCGATATATCGTGCAGACCTAGTCAGAAGTGTGATCTAATGCAGCTGTAAGGCCATGCACTGTTGAGCTCAGTATGGAAACACACAATTCTACTCCACTGCTACACAATTCTACTCTACTGCTGCAAAATGAGAACTTCAACCACTGGAGGGCAGCAACTGCTGCGGTTGCCTTTTACACTGTACTAATGGCGCAGTTCCACTGCAGCGCGGAGCTCGCTTTAAGCGTGCCGTGTCGTGCCGTCGTGCTATTATTTATAATATACTCAGATCAATAGGAGACAGAGGTGTTAAGTTATAAATCAAGGGTTTGTATTATTATTTACAGCAGGGGTGGGGAACCTTTTTCCTTTCAATTTTTTCAACATCCTCCGAGGGCCGTACAAATGATTGACCTCTGCTTAAAAATACTAAAATCACAGCCCATTCATTTCGCCTTTCTTTCATTCTGAGCAAAGAAAAAGCAACCTCTTAATCCAGATATCTTACCACGACTGGCGCATGCATTCACGTGCACGGTGTGGCATGACCACCAAAACAGAAAGATACGGACACAAGATGTGTGCAAATGTATTTAGTTTCCTAGGGGACCTAACCTCCTCTAGGGGGGTCCAGGGGCATGCTCCCCCGGGAAGATTTTTTTTTTAAATATTGAAGTTAAAAGCATCAATCTGGTGCACTTTGAGAGCAACATGAAGAGATCTATGGATACATCTTTCAACACCCATATGAAACAGAACTGTAAGCAGATTTTTCTTTTGGATATTTTACAAATCACTCCCCGTTTAAACTCTATTCTTGTTATTTTTAACAACATTTTTGTTACTGTCATATAGTATTTTATACCGGTTTTTCATTTAGTCTCTAATGTCTCATTAATAACTATAATGATCATATCAAGGTGTGCCTTAACCTCACTGAGCTGAGGTTATTTGAGCCTCTCAGGAGAGAGCTCTCTTCCACCTGGTTGTAGAAAAGCTCTTTAAATTCGTTAGCATAGCTAGCTAACCAGATGCTAATAACAACAGATCGCCACTGGGCTTACAACTAAAGACACAGCCACGCAAACACTGCGGCATGTGTACGGCTCCTTATGGGTACTGCAATATTTGAAGAGCTGGAGCGGCGTTCCGGTGCTCTTCGTCTACACTACACTCCTTTCAGACGAGACATACAAAGTGAAGACACGTTACGCTCGTGTTGTGTTCAAGGAACCTGTCCTTGGCCAGGAAAAATAGGCTCTCGCTTGTTTAATTATTTTGCGATATAGATGATTTCTTCTTTTTTGAAGAGAGAATTTGTCCGTCAGTCGGACTGACTGATCACGGAGCTCTCAGCAGAGGACAGCCGGGGACGCTCCCGCCGATATCAGAGATGTCCCTGCTATGTGTGGAAGGTAAGAGAGGACATTTAAGGGCTATGTTTGATATCTTTAAGTATCACCTGCTGGTGTTTAGCTGTTGTCCTGTGCCTTAAATCGTTTGTTTACGTCCCTCACTTCCGTTTCGCTTCTCATTTGCTAGCTGAACAGCTGATCAGAGTGGTTTCTTGGCCCGATAGCTTGTGTCCGACACCCGGCCGATTCAACATGTTGAACCGGCCGATTCAACATGTTGAATCGGCCGGGTGTCGACCGTGAAAGGCCAAATAAGGCGTGTCACGGCCGAGGGTTCGGGACACACCAAATTGACTTTGGGCGACAAGGAACGCATTGTCGCCAGACAACCGAAGACGGCCGATATCGGCCTGGTGTGTCAGGGCCTTGACCAGGCCTTGACACACCAGGCCGATATCGGCCGTCTTCGGTTGTCTGGCGACAATGCGTTCCTTGTCGCCCAAAGTCAATTTGGTGTGTCCCGAACCCTCGGCCGTGACACGCCTTATTTGGCCTTTCACGGTCGACACCCGGCCCATTCAACGTGTTGAATGGGCCATTTGTCGGACACAAGCTATTGGGCCAAGAAACCACTCTGATCAGCTGTTCAGCTAGCAAATGAGAAGCGAAACGGAAGTGAGGGACGTAAACAAACGATTTAAGAAGGCACAGGACAGCAGCTAAACCCCAGCAGGTGATACTTAAAAGACATCAAACATAGCCCTAAATGTCCTCTCTTACCTCCCACACATAGCAGGGACATCTCTGATATCGGCGGGAGCGTCCCCGGCTGTCCTCTGCTGAGAGCTCCGTGATTTGTTTGATCAAGTCCGGTTTTTATCTCATCGGTTTATTTGTCAGTATAAAGTTGCAGGATTAGTCTCAAGTACCTTTTCGCTGGAAAAGCGCCGGTTTTTCCTGTTCACACCGCAGCGGCGCCGCGTCATAGCTCCGGAATGCGGTTCACTTCCAGCTCCAAAAAATTGTCGGTCTAGAGGCAAGAGCTTCGGAGCTATGACGCGGCGTCGCTTACGTCTCTCTTACGTCGAGGCGTGCAGGAAACTAAACCCACCTCCCCTGAACATGGGTCGACTGAAGAGTCTCGTCATGCCTGCCTACAAGCAGTAGCGCTGAGCAAAGTGACTAGAAGGCAACCACACACTTATAAAAAAAACACACTTTATAAAGTCAGGCAACACTAACCAGGCTTCGTGTGATTCTGTTTATTTGTACCTTACTTTGACCATCCGTTCGCTGTTATTGATCATTGTGGAGAGCAGGCAGACGTTTTGTTTGTTATTATAGCAGCCATCGGATGGAATCAATACATGGGCTGCACAGGTTGTCATGTCCGACTATCACAAGTAGAATCATAATGAAAAATACGCCGGTAAAATGTGCCTGTAGAAACGGCTTAGCAAGTAGTCAGTTTAGCTTCGGTTGCTATGCTAACATCACCCATGTTATACCAGAGAAACTTTCATAACAGAGTAATTTGGAGGAATGGTTAGTGGCTGATGAGTCCCCAGTGAAGAAAAGAAAAAGACGAGGGACAAGAAAACAGCGGAGAAATTGCCCCGTTGCCAGCTTCAAAAAGTATGTTTCCCTGTGCCCATCTGACGCCAAAGCCTTCTACCTTCACCCACTAAAAAAGGACCAACAGCTTCTCAACGGTGAATCAGTGTGGTATTCACGTGAGCCCATGGGACATAATTTCCTTGGGCAAATGCTACCCACAATAAGCCAGGCAGCCCAGCTTTCAAAGCGCTACACAAACCATAGCTTGAGAAGCACGGCTGTACAACTGCTCTCTCAGGCTGGTCTTGGATCAAAAGAGATCATGTCTGTGACTGGGCACAGGTGCGAGAGCAGCCTGAAGAGTTACTGGGCTCCAACAATAACCGAAAGGGAGAAATGGAGCAACATCCTGTCCTCCAACCCAGGAAATAGCACCACATCGGGTCAGTGCCTTTCCATGTTGTCTGTCCTTACACACACATTAGCGGTAGAGATACAACTGTGGCAATATTGTTTCCCGTTTTTTTACATGTTGGGAATTGTGCTTTCAGATGTGTCATCTGCGAAACCCCCGCAAGGAGAGAGGATCGAGGACAGAAACGTTGATCTCAATATCCCTAAAGATTTCCCATTCACCATGTCACATTGTACTATTAATGGAAACGTTCAGGTTAATGTTAATTACAGCTAAGGCTCAAATGCTAACATGCACAGAGTTAGGCCCCGGCTCCACGAGGACAAATACGGCAAAACGCATCGGAGTAACGCAAATGCAACCGCAAAAAACCTTCCGTCCCCACGCAATATACACCGGATTGTGTCAAGCTCCACGAGACGGCTCCGTTTACATCCAAACGCTGGAAAAGCTGCAGTACATATGCCGAACCTGTACGTGGCGCTGTAACTTCCTCCACAAAAGCAGCAACTTCCTCCACAAAAGCAGCTTAGAAGAATGGTTGTCATGGCTGCACTTCTGTGTATTCTCCGCGGTGGGGGCCGACAGAACCGGGCAGAGTTTTTCGCCGGTCAGCGTGTGTTAAAGTTTAAATCTTCCGGACAAAATTATAAAAGTGCCGGTCAAAGGTCTTCATTGTTATTTATTGAGCTTTAAAACAAATGAATAACGACGATATAATGATATATAATCATCAAATACATCTCTTTTTCCTCTCTTCTGACAGCGTCAGTGTCTGTCTCATGCAGCAGCTGATCCTGTAATGAGTGACCCGACAGTAAAAATGAACATATTTATAACTAGTTTAGGTAGTTTGAGAGGTAATTAAAATAGCTAAGGGTGATGATCTGACTTGAAGTGTGTGTTTTGCTCCCGCTGCATCACAGCGGCAGGAGCTGCGTGTCTCCGTCCTGTCAGATTAGACTTCACTCGCGTTTATGTCCATATCGAGAGAAAGATAAATAATCTGAATTCAAGGAGGAGCTCCTGTAGATGTTGCACAAAGAACTGTAGCATGGTCAGTAGCGACTGGAGCACGATAGCAACCCCGCGGGGGAGAGGCAGGGAGAGGCGGGGCTATGAAAACGAATGACCGTATAGGCGACTCCACGGCCCCGTTGGACCCCCCAGAGCGCTCAGTTCCCAGATCTATCCACCTTTGGACCCGTTGTCGTTTGCGGGGTCTGTTTCTACGTTTCCCTTACGGCGTCGTGGAGCTTAGAGGGCTATACGCATGAGAAATATGCAGATTCAACCAGTTTCCGTCCTCGTGGAGCCGGGGCCTTAGTTGCTATCGAAGCAGTTCCTGCCGTTGCAACAGCCTAGTTCAAACATCAACAACGGACTATTTTTCGTAGCGGATGAATGTCATTTTAAATCAGTTACAACTATGTTTTTAATCATTAAAAACATTTTCTAAAACAATAAAAGCATTTCAATTAATATTGGGAGTCATATCATTACTTTGTTGAGAATGTGGCCATGTAATAAGCGGGATAATGTGCAGCGACGCGGTCATTATGGGTAAAAGAACACCGACAGGCAGATCAGGAGCCCGACGCGAAGCGGCTCCTGATCTGCCTGTCGGTGTTCTTTTACCCATAATGACCGCGTCGCTGCACATTATCCCTTACTTGTGTGACAGTCAGACAGTGAATACTTTAGAGCCGTGTGAGCTAACCCGGAGCTAACGGGAGAATAAACTCCCGTGGAAGAGCAGCCAGCACTGCAGCGGCCGGTAAATGCCGCTGAAACACATTAATAAACAATGAACCACGGCACTCTGGAGAAAAGTATACAGTTGGAGAAGTCGTTATTTAATTTAATCTGGCTTCGTATGATTAAAAGCAACACGATCATCGACCCGACGCAGTTCCCCCCGTTGTTGTTGTGAGCTCCGTTGGGGAGAAAATCAGGGATGTAAAGGGTGACGTCATTACGCAGCAGCGGCAGCTGGGCGGTGTGAACAGAGCGGGAGCTAAAAAGGGAAACCGGAGCTGAACCAGAAAAGCTCTAGCTAGGAGCTAGAAAGGGAAAGGCGCTGGTGTGAAAGCCGCATGAGTATTGAGGATAGGAGTCGAGGAGGGGAAATTAGAGTATTGAGAAGCCTCAAATGAGTGGACCAAAGAAAAGAAAAGTCGACAATGAGTGCCGAGTGTTTAATGAGGAGTGGACAGCTAAATATGTTTTCGCCGATCTGCTACTGGCCCGGCCCATCTGTTACATTTTAAAACTCATAGTGGCCCCAGAGCCAAAAAGTTTGCCCACCCCTGAACTAGAACCTCCACTGGGGTTTGGTATTGTTGCCGTGCTGTACCACATTTGACACTGTAATACAACTAAACCCCCTCTGGGCTACACTGTCTGCCTCTCTCAGCCTTCACTTTCACTGAGCAGTCAGAAGCCCTCATTGACTCTCTGAACTTCCTCCTTCCTCTCTCTGCCCTCATTGTACATCTGCAGATGTATGGATGAGTTTGCGAATGTGTAATTCTGTCTGCAGATTGTAGGCTACACATGTGCACCGTACGGAAGCCTTGATGACAAATGTCAACCTAAACTAGCATGAATGTAGAGATGTAAATCATTTACTGCATATTTACACACATATTGTGTTCTTGAAAGGCAAAATAATGTGTCTTCCTGCTTCGTCATTAAATGTCGTGTTTACATTTAACCGATGAATGCTTCCATGATATTCTGGCATGCGTCCATTTGTTCTGTCTCGAGTTTAACTTTTTAGTTATTGACAAAACGTTTTTGTTACATTTAAATACACGTTTAGAGAGAAATATGCAGGCCATATAAAAAAATACAAACGTCTAAGAGTCTGTGTTTAACATTACTCACCCTATTTTCGCATTTTACCGAATTTCTCAGCACTCCCGACGCTGCCTCAAAAGCGATGCGAAAGTTATTTTTCACCGCAAAAATACAAACTAATACAAACTTAAATTCTAACAAAAATAAATCACGAATCATCAAAGTCCGTGGGTCCGAATTGAAAAAGCGTGGCTGAATAGTCCTGATTTTGCAGTCCTCCTCGGTGTGGTTGAGATCTTCTTGAACATCTGGTAGTCATGGAGTGAACGAAGGAGATTTGAAGGAGGCAACCAGACAGAATATATGAAGTTCAGCGTGAGCTCTGATTGGTCACGATAAGTCAACCGACCAATCAGAGCCACACTGAACGTCCATCAACTAATGTAACTAATAAGTAAGTGGGCGGGTCCCCCTGTGTGTTTTTTCTAGAAGTTTCTTATTTTTGCAGCCTTTTACTATATATACACATTCCAAAGTACACACATCTTAACTGTCCATGTGCTTGATATTGAACATTTTACAACATGTCCTTTAGTACATAAATGAACTTTAAGAAGTGTCCACACTATGCTGCGCACTTTTCCGTTTTGCCTTTTTTGTTGTACAATAGTCTACGTTGCTTCTTGTTTACATCACACGCCAGACAGAGAAAACAGACATCAGTTCTGCTTTGTCAGGATCTATTATATGTCGTAGCTGCTATATTGTACTGCCATGTGGTAAATACTGGTATATGCTGCTCATGCTCTTTCTGCATATCAAGTATTTATTTTTGCTATGTATATAAAATGTCATGTTTTTAAATGTTATAGGCTATGTGAGGGACAACGGATGGAAATGACCACGAAGCTAAAATCCGGCATATTTACATTTGAAGCATTATTTGTTTAAAGTGTTCATCAATGTGCATTGTCCCTGTTCAAATAAACGATTAATTGAAATTAGATATCACAATTCCTGTCATAGGTTGCCCTTCCTGTTCTCAACAAACAGTCATTTTCCACATTAGTTGTGGGCTGCCAAGAAATAATGAATAATTAATAAAAATTAAAAAAAATCCCTCTCTTGCTAGTAGGCCTATTTATAATGTCTACGGCACATAGACATTCTAGAGACACTCTTTTGTAATTACGTTTTTGTGTTTTAATGTCTTGGGTTTTAAGTGCCTAAATAATCTTCGTTAAAATAAATGAAACGGTTCATCCCACACTTTGCCAAGGTTGAAAGTAATGAGAATGATGCACACTTTTCACAGGGTTTGGCAAGCTGTGCAGTGTTTTATTCACATAAATCATTCTTACTTTTCAACAGTCGAATCAGTGAGCTTCTGGTCTCTCTCATACAGACAGCAGAACAAATATTTTCCATGCTCTTGTAGAATCTGTTCTTATATATCTTCTATTTGCGTGTATATAGACTTTTCTTGCACATTTTTTTTTTAATTGTATATGTCTTATATAACTATGCATTGTTGGAGGAGCTCAGGATTTTCATTTTCATTTCCATTTCTACACTTTATCTCATGTGCATATGATATTAATATATTGAATCTTGAATCACATTATTGTCAAAATACTTAATTACAAGTAAAAGTCATGCATTCAAAATCTCAAAAGATAAAGTACAAAAGTATTGTAAAAGCAATTTTCGGTTGCTATATAATAAAGTGTTGTAAGCTGTGGGTTAATTTTTTGTTGTTGTAAAGAAGCCCCTTTTAGTTTTCTTTACATTAAGGTCATCTATACAATGATTAACACATGTGACCATCTGTGTGTTAATGCTAAACAGTGTCCTGCTGTTGTGTCCATTTGTATGTGTGTTTAGTGCTAAACGACCACGTGTTGTTCTATTTCCGTTTGAACGATCTCTTCATCGCAGTTTCATTTCCTTTTTTCATTTTTAAACATCCGTGCTAACTCTTTCATTTCCTATTAAGTTGTAGACCACTAAAATGTGAAGCAACAACGAAGGAAATACTGTAGATAACGGACAGGATGGTGTTTCATTTCCTATTAAGTTGTAGACCACTAAAATGTGAAGCAACAACGAAGGAAATACGTGTAGATAACGAACATGATGGTGTAAATATATAGGGGGAGAAGGGGGTAAATTGAGCCGGTGGGTAAATTGAACCACCCCCTGTAACCAGATAACGCTTTATAGAGAGGCGAAGTCCCTCCCCTTCCGGTGGGACTCATGGGACCTTATTTCGGAAAAAGTTTGTATTGAAGTCAATGGAGAGAGAAAGATTATCTTTCGATCCCGTTTGAATTGTGCCACGAATTACACATATGATGTTTGTCAATCTTAAATAATAATTTCCATGTCAAAAAAGTCACAGTTTGTCGTAAAACTGTTGAAATATAAGACTATGAAAAATATGCAACTAGAAAGACCACAAATCCCAGAATCCCGGTCCCGCATGCTGGCTCTTTCGGAACCGACTAACTCCCCTTATGTGTATGTACAGCTCTCAACATGCCCAGACTTGCAGTGATTTTCACCTCTTTTAATACTTTTCGCCTCATTCTGAGAGAAAGAAGTGAAATGTGCCAACGTGACAGCCGTCTTGGTGTGTGGTGCGAGACGGGAGATGTAGTTCATTGAGCGGTTTCACGCAAAAAAAGTGTTACTTCACACTTTTACGACACATTTTAATTTTTTTGACTTCTAAAATTATCTTTTAAATTGACAAACATCATATGTGTAATTCGTGGCACAATTCAAACGGGATCGAAAGATAATCTTTCTCTCTCCATTGACTTCAATGCATAACTTTTCCGAAATAAGGTCCCATGGAGCTCAACCGGAAGGGGAGGGACTTCGCCTCTCTATAGTTGTAATCAAGTCACCAGAAATTATGCAAGCTCCTCCCATTTCTCTTTGGCTGTGACAGAGAGATGCGTAGTCTGGTAAGTAAACATTTTTACAAAAAAACTTTTTTTGCTTGTCAAAGTACATTTTCTAGATGTCAGCTATATCGGCTGTCATGTCAAACAAAATGTATCCAGGTTTAAAAACATATATTGTATATGCTGATGTGTTGGCAGCGTATTAAACCATGTGAATCATTAAGCTAAAGATAACTCTGAATTGTTAAGCTAGGCAATCCTTTCTAAAAGGGTGGCTATGGGGTAAAGTGAACCATGGGCCTTGGGGTAAGTTGAGTCAGTGGTTCAATGGAGTAGCAGAATGAAAGTAGGCCCAGTTGGTAATACAAGTTCATTGTAGGCTACATTTAAAGTTTAATTTACCCTGTGTTTGATGGGTAAGATGTATGAAATTGTATCACCATTTGTATGATTACTTTTCCTTTTAACATGTTAAAAAAAATCAATCAATTCAATCAAAATGTATATTAAAATATTTGAAAAACTAAACTTGTATTTGGTTTGTTATTTATTGTTTAAAGTAACCTTTAAGATTTTTTGTAGGTATGCCCAGGTTTAAACTGGAAAAAGTGAAGTGGTTCAATTTACCCCCTGACCTGGATCAACTTACCCCTACACTGGGGCAAGTTGAGCCACAAGACCACTTTTTTTTTTAGAAGTAATATTTTCACTGCTCTTGATAACATATTAATTCTTATCATTGCCATTGATAGGAGACATCCTGAATTATAGGTGTGTGCTTTCATTGTTACTATGTGTAATTTCTTTCCCACATAATACAACAATATGTTTTAATTGACCACTTACTGTGTAGCTCTGTATAACCAGATAGGGAGTTGTTTTTTGGACTGGGTTATCATTCTCAAGGTCGCAGGTGTTTCAACGGCTCCATGTTAACCAGACACAGCACACACATCTTTTGTTCAGACCTTGCACACTATTGCCGTGAACATGTGACTCTGTAATGTTTGAATATTTTTCTGTGCAAAAACGTATTAAATATCCAATCTTTATTTCCACAACAATAAAATCCTAGTTTATCCAAAAGTTTTATTTTTTTGTAATTTGTACATTCATTTGTAATCACTGCGTTTGTTACACCCAGCGTTTAGAAAACCTTGTCGGTTCAGATGGTAAATCAGTTTTAGACGGACACAAAACAAAGTGAATGTGGCGCTGTATAAAAAAAAAATACAGCGTACAGTAGATCATGCGATTTGTGTGACCGGGCATTGCTCGGGCTGATCCAGGAACAGAGTCTGGAACATGTGGTTGTAGAAGTCGGGGTGGTAGAGGCAGGCCCTGGCACAGTCGGGGCTGAAGTTAAACTCCAGGATCTGAGGCTGCATGACGCGCTCGCCTGGCCCAGGATAAGAACACACACAGGTTAGAAAACAAATTAGAAAGTCAAAGAACAGAACCACGGTTCCTACACAAAGACAACAGGCAAAGCTACTTGGTATTTCAATAAATAAATTAACAGTATGTTTAGCTATTTGTTTAGATTATAATATATGGTGATAAAATCCATTTTATCCCAGGGAACTACATTTTCACACCAGGGTTTCCGCTAGGATTTTTTCTTGCCGGTCAAGTGTCCGGAAAGAATTTATTTTACCGGACAAATTTGAAACTTACCGGTCATGTTTCAATAATAATAAGAATTGTGTAGCAGAGTTTCCGTTAGCATGTAATTACCGGACTATGACCGGATATGCTGATGTTTAAAACTCAGTTAATGGGAGTCATTTTTATATTGCTTCAGTTTATAATCGTAACAGATCGAAATTTTCATTTTTCAATAAATGATGCGCTTCCACAAACAACAAACAACATAATTATTACATTCAAACAAACTACTTATAGTAAATAAAGTACATTATTCAAAAGTTTACATTAACTTAATAATAACACGGGAGAAACCGGAGCCTCTCTTTTTCCTCTCTCCCTCCCTCCCTCTCTCCTTCTCTTTCTCTCTCTCCTGACAGCCGGGTTGCATTCGAATAGTCCATTTAGCTTAGGAACCTTCCTAACGGAGTGAAATGACCCGGAAGTCCCTCAGTGGCAGCCATGATAAGTGCCGTTCGAATTCTCTAAATTAAAAGGAAAGGAGGTTTCAAACTTCCTTTATAACCTCCTTTAGCTTAGGAACCACTGGACCTCCCTAACCGAAAGGAGAGGAGAAAATGCTGCCCCACAATGCCTTGCGGCCGCAGCATTTGCCGTCACACAACAGTCGGCCGTTCACGGAAACAACCGATTATGAACGAGAAATGATATCATGAAAGTTACGGTGCTTATTAAGCATTTTAAAACGTATGTGGTAAGTTGCCAAAGTGCTTTGTTTTGAACGTT